GCATGGCCGCCTAGTAACGGCCCCGACCACTGCCGCTCGACCTGACCGGAAAAAACCGTAGCAGGAAGCTAGCGAAGTCGTAGTATATATCGTCAGAGCGCAAAGGCGAAAAAAAAACAGAAGAAAACAAGAAGAAAAAAAAAAAATCGTTTTTTTTAATCTTATTTCTTACAACTCCCCCTGTTCATATATCAAACAGAGCTGCCAGGTAAACCGTAGGCAGAGAGGGAGAAGAGGACGACAAACGAGGGACTGTGACAAATTGTTTCGTTGGAGTTTCACCGACTCATCAGGAGGCTGAATATTAGGTCTGAAGTTTTCAACGGTCGCGTGCCCAATGAAAAACAAACAAACAATTGGGTTGGACCCACGCGAGACTGGGTATCCTAAACCGTATGTGTTCATATAGTCCGTAGAATAGACTATTCCCGTCCTTATCAAGGGAGATGCTAACCTTCTCTCGGCTCAATGAACAGAACACAAACAATTGAATGTACTGAATGATTTTTTTTTATTTTTTATTTTTTTTAAGGAAAACCAGATCAATTCTTAACAATACGGGATTGAGGTCAGGGACCTCACAATTCGGAGTACTGACAGCATCAGCCAGCTTAGCTTACAGGTGGAAGACCTGTGGAAACTCTTGTTACAGAGTATTCCAAGGGAAACTGAGATATGCAATTCAAATGCACCAAACCTTAACATGCTTCCCTTCCGTGACATGATAGCAGTTACTTGACTGCTGCAGAAAAGATTTAGTTGCCTGATTCACAAGTTAAAGGAAACTGTCTACCCAGCCAGGCTATCCTATATTAACTACATCTGGGACTAGCACGGCCCAGCGGACATAGTCCGGCCCTACTGACACTCTACTAATGGCCCACAGCGGCCCTACTGCACCGAGTGCCCTGGTAAACACTACTCCTCAAGAAACCAGCCGGAAAAAAACAGGCCCGCCCTTGTGTGAACTGCTACAAGCTGACTGCTTTTTGCCCAAGTGTGGCGAAACTACCTCAATTGTTTCATGTTCCCTTTTCCTGATTTTGCTCTGCATCTCCAATCAGCCCAGATAGCATGCTTCAGCCCCTGTTTGATGTGCGTTTTTGTTTCCACATCTGTGAAAGTCCGGCCTTCAAAAGTTGACCTGTTTCCGTCATTCCATATGGTCTCACATAATAGACCCTGAACCACATGGGCCACATAGCCCCAACCCCGGTTCCCTTCGATGTGAGGTGGGAGAAACCCTAGCAGTACCCACCTCTCCATCCATTCCACACCCAGCCCGCCATACTCTCTCCAGTGGTGTGCCCACCAGTTCCTGTCAGCACTGAAGAAGGTAATGTTTGCATGGTGCATACTGTAAAGGTGCAGACCAGAAAAAGAACCGACCTCTCTAACAAAGTACAAGATAGCGCAATGGAAAACTTAGATACCAATGATCCGAACAATCAATATTGCAATGCAGCCCAGAACATACATCATCATCATCATTCCATGGTGTGAAGGGGTCTGGCGCTCACACAGGAAGAATGCGCCAGCCCCAACCATACACAGACGAAGAAGAGGGGACGATGGGAATGTCGTCAACACCAAGTCTTCGGCACAGGCCCAAATAGTCCCTCGTCAAAATGTCTGAATCCCAATGTCAAGTCTGGATCCACTGTCGTCAAGTCTCAAGTCACAACTCTCTCTCTCTGTAGTAGTCCGCTGATACTGAGAAGTCAGGTGGTGAGAGGGGAAGAAGAGATGGTGGACTTAGAAGAGGAAGAAGAACTCTCTCTCTCTCTCTCTCTCTCAGTCCGGTACTAACCTGTGAAGTTGGCGCCTTGATGCAGGTACCTCGAAGATGGAGCTGGAGTTATGGCGCCACAGGTAAGTCCCACCGGCCTCCGCCAGCCATCTCTCCCAACTCTACTACTACCACCTACTAGCGCCCACGCTGAAGACTACTGCTATGGCTACTAGCGCCCAGCACTGAAGACTACTGCTAGCGCTAAGCTACTCCTGCAGCACTGCTCCTGAGTGCTGCGGCCCAAATCCTGAAGACTACTCCTGCCTTCTGTCCAACTACCTACCCGTGAAGTGCATGGGAACTCCCTATGTGCTTCTCGGCCTGCCTCCTGACTGCAGGGCGAGGCAGTCCAGGAGGCTGCTCTTGCCAATGCCGCAGGGAGTCAGGGGCTGCCGCTGCAGCTCCTGCTTGAGGCTGTCGTGGGAACAGGCTAAAGATAGCCTATTCCCGAAACTCCGTTTCAGGCTGAAAAGCCTCAGGGCTGAAAAGCCCTGTTTTAGGCTGAAACGACATAGGGCCTGCAGGCCCTCGTTTTTCAGTCTTTCAGGCTGAAACGACAGGGGCCTGTAAGCCCTTATTTCTAGGCTTTTAGGCTGGGAATGCGGGACGGGCCCTGCAGGCCCGTGTGGCTACGCAGTATGCCACATTGCACCTGGACACTAGGGAAGAATGCAAGGTGAAGGCACTGGCGGATGACCTGTTTGTGTTAGAATACTATGAACATCTGCTTACCTCCTCCCGGCTCAATTTGTACTTCGCGTAGAATGGGGCATGAGAAGGGTGTTGTCAGGGGAAGAGGAGAGATTATTAGGGGTATTTATTAGCCTCGAGATAGACTCCTCATCGCAAGGTCTGCTCTTGAAACAGGGCATATCAGCCAGGCTCAGACTGTTGGGCACCGATGCCACCTATCCCTACTGGGACGAGCTCTAATCGCAAATGTGGCCCTGTTCTCAATCCTCTGGTTCGTCGCCGCAGTGATAGAGTTGGCAGCAGTGATAGTCAAGGTCGTGAGGAATCTGGTGGCCCGCTTCATCTGGAAGCCCCGTGCGCAGATCACCGAGGGCTTCATTTCCAAAGTAGCTATGGACACACTCTCCTTTCCACGTTCCCAGGGAGGTCTCCGTCTAGTGGATCCGGCACGCAGAAATCAAGCGCAGCTACGAAACTGGGTGGCCAAGGTAGCCAACATGAAGTCCAGGGAACACTGGGTGACGGTTGCAGAACGGATACTGATGGGAGAATGGGGCCTGAGTAGACCACAGGACGTGTGGGCATGCTTCTTCTTGCCCTCCTTTTGCAAGAGAAAGCTCAAATCCAGGTTCTGGGAACCGATCAGGAAGGCTTGGAACAGATTCCCACCAGACGTGCAGAATCCGCCATCCACCAAGGAAGTTTTAATCCAGCTCCTGTTTGAAAATCCATCAATAGTGGACCAGGATGGACAGATCTTCAAAACGGATGGATCCACGGGCACGTTCGGCCAAGCATGGGTCAACCGAGGCATCGTGCGAATCTCAGACTTGTGGTCAGCATTGCTGGGCAGTTGGAAGCCCCTGGAGGAGGTCAAGGGACCCCTCAGAGGCCTGCAGAGAGTGGAAATCCATTGGAGATCACGCATTAACGCTATCCCTCAAGATTGGCTATTGATCCACGTGATATGTGCCAAATCAAGAGAGGGAACAGAACATTCTGGTGGTATGTGCCAAATCAAGAGAGGGAACAGAACATTCTGTGGAAAGTATTGGACATCCTGCACAGCTTCTTTCAGGCGGGTTGAACGGTGGCGCTGCAAAGGAACAACTCGCAGCAACGAATACTCCGCGCCCAATTGAGGAGGAAACAATCCAACTGTGGGACAACCCTGCTCAGGCCAGGGTCATGTCAGCGCGAGGCAAGAGCCCATCAACCCGCCTGTACACCTGGGTTGGGAGGTACCACTTAACCAGCTCTGCATGGATCCAGCAGCCTGGAGTTGGTCAGTCATGGCGAAACAGCTCTGAGCCTTGGTGCCTCCGCAGTATCCCTGGGATACCAGCAACTTTGACACAAGCTGAAGACCCCCGCACAAGTAGCTATCCCTCGGTGGCAGCGGGTGTGGAATGAGGACCTCGCCTGTTCGGAATCAGATTTCAAAAGGCTCTGGGAAATTCAGGCAACTCTCCCAAACGGAAAGCAAATCAGACTACTGTGGATGCTCTCCCTGATGGTTTCCCCGTCAGCAGTCTGGCTGTTGAGCAGGGGCATGGAGGTGAACATTGCATGTTCACGATGTTCAGGATGCCGGTGGTCATTCGAATCAACCAGGCATCTATGGTGGCAGTGCCCAGGCATCCATGGTGGGAGTGCCCCGCTTCCAAACGCATCTGGAACTGGTGGAACTGGTGTTCCTTGGTTTTGCCAACAGGCCCAGCTTGGTTTTGAAATAAAAAAAGAAAAAGACAAAAGCGAACTTTCTCCCCCGAAACAATGAGAACCATTTACCGTTGAGAACCATTTACCGTTGCCGTCATTCCTTCAGAAAGATGTCCATGACCACCGTCTTCTCCCCATTAGAACATAACATACAGGCTAGATACATAGTAGCCGTATTTGGCCCAGCCTGCGGTTTAGACACAGCGATAACGACTAGGCGTAACATACAGGCTATATACATAGTAGCCGTATTTGGCCCAGCCTACGGTCTAGACACAGCGATAATGACCGTGCGTTGGTGCCGTCATTCCTTCAGCAGAAGGGTGTCCACTACCACCGTCAATCTGGCCCAGCATGAAGTCTAGATACAACGATAATGACCGCGTGCTGTTTTCAGGGGAAAACGGTAGCGCTTTCCCGCATCGGGACCACTCCGAGGTCCCTCCCGCTGATCCAGATTCTAGAACGAAATTTCTATGGCCGTCGATTCCGTATGAGATCAACGAAAATTCTTCGTTCTCCTTTCCTTCTGAGTAAATTCCACGTACGATCAACGAACATTCGTCTAGAACTCGAGTGCATTCTCCTCGACGAGATCGCAAGAGCCACCGTAGATATCCAGAAACGCAGTGTCTTCACGCCGTCCAGAAGAAAGACAGACAGACAGAGAGAACCTATGACCATGGCAATGGTTTTCGTCATCATCACTAGCCAGCCTGAGCCGCCATAGCCATCCAGAAACGGGCATCACATCATCTCCCTCGTCGTCATCATCATCATCATCATCATCATCATCCTCATCACGGCCATAGCCACATGCGGAAACCAGCATCTCATCATCTCCCTCATCATCATAAGCCAGGCTGAGCCGCCATAGCCATCCAGAAACCAGCATCACATAATCTCCCTCATCATCATCGTCATCATCACCATCACCATCATCCTCATCCTCGTCGGGGTCGTCGTCCTCCTCATCAGCGATGGCAGCAGCAACGGCACTGGGGAGAACAGGTCATCCCGATCCCAATTCTTCAATCATGGGGGCCTGGCCTCCGTCATTTTGGCCAGATAAGACAGACAACCCCGATGGCCATGGCAATGGTTTTCTGGAAAGCCGAACGCCGCGCTGAGCCGCCATAGCCATCCAGAGACGAGCGCCTCATCATCTCCCTCATCATCTCCCTCCTCCTCCTCATCATCATCATCCATATCATCATCATCATCACCCTCGTCGGGGTCGCCGTCCTCAGCATGAAGCGATCGCAGCAGCAGCAAAACGGGACTGGGGAGAAAAAACAGGAAGAGGAAGGTCATCCCGATCCCGATTCTTGTCTGGCCAAAATGATGGAGCCCAGGCCCCCTTTACTGAAGAAGCGGGATCGTGATGAGGAGAAGACGAGTAGATCCACATCGGGATCGTACATCATCCGTCCCGGCGCAACGTCACAGCTTCCACGACAAGGATTGGGAGATCTGGTCCCTTCATCATCCAAACCCGGTCCCTACCGACTTCACTCGAATAGAACGCCGGGTCATTAAATCTGCATTTCGCGCAACTTTCAGTCCAAATACAATACAGCTGTAATGACCCCGCGCGCGCGCGATCTATTCGGGCGGTTGTAGGCAGTAAGCGCTCTCAAGCCGCGATCGCAAATCCCTTCCGCTACCTTTCCCATACTACAACCAACCTTTCTTTTCTTTCTTTTTCTTTTTTTTTTTCTTTCTTTTTCTTTTTTTCTTCTTCTTTTTTTTTTCTTTTTTTTTTTCTTTTTTCTTCTTTTTTTTTCTTTTTTCTTTTCTTTTTTTCTTTNTTTTTTCTTCTTTTTTTTTCTTTTTTCTTTTCTTTTTTTCTTTTTTTTTTGGGGACCAATCTTTCTACCGGGGACACGAATGGGAAACTAAGGTCTGAAATTGTGAGTTCCAGTGTCGAGGGATGGGGGGCCGAAGAGAGGGGGGGGGGGACGGGAAGGGGAGGGTCGGGAGGACAATACCGAGATTTTCATGAGATTCATGACAAAATGAGGGGAAGACTACCGCACCTTTTTTTTTTCTTTTTTTTTCCCCCACAAAAAAGAACTACCGGCGTTTTCAATGGGCAACTAAGGTGTGAGATTGCGAGCTGGCTATAGCAGGAATTGAACCTGCCACCTCGCAAGCGCGCTCCGCCGCTCTCGCAACGGATAGGACGTTTCAAGGGGGAGGGGAGGGGGAAGGAGGGGACGGGAGGAGGAAGGAGGGGGGAGGGGAGGGAAGGGGAGGGAAGGGGAGGGGAGGGATGGGAGCAAAATACCCAGGTTGTGAGTGACAATAATAAGGGGACGACAACGGGGTTTGTAGACCGACAAATGACATGACAATCATTGGGATCTGGCGACACTACCGTCTTCTATCCGAATAGAACCCCCGGTCATTGTAGACGTATTTGGGGCAATTTTCAGTCCAGATTCAGCGATACTGACCGGGCGTTCTATTCAAGTGAAGACGGCAGGGATGATTTTTTTTTTTTTTTTTTTTTTTTTTGGGTCATTGAACGAGGATTGACAGAAAATTGTCATCGGCACGAACAAGGGTTTTGAACGGGAAATTGGGCCTCGCTCCACTACTCACCGATTGCGCAAAATGAGAATGAATCTTCCGCTAGAACACGGGAAGATGCACTGCCATATTTTGTCTTTTGTGCATGTGGAGCGAGGCCCATTGTGAGTTTAACGCAGAGAATGAATCTTCCGCTCGAACACGGGAAGATGCACAGCCATATTTTTTGTCTTTTGGGCATGTGGAGCGAGGCCCATTGTGAGTTTAACGCAGGGAGAGCGGCAGAGGAAGAGGGGGAGGAAGAGCAATAGCGAGGGGGGGGTTGGTTATTCTAACGAGGTGGGGGCACTACTGCCTTCTTCAACCCCCAATAGAAGGTTCACCCAAATAGAAGACCAGGTGATTATCGCTGCATCCAGACGGACGGTCGGACCAAATACAGATGTAATGACTGGACGGTCTGTTCGTCTCAAGAAGGTAGGGATGAATCGACAAATGACATACATGAAAATGAATGAGGATTGATAGCGATTTTGGGCTTTGGGCCTCGCTCCACTACTCTCAAAATGTGCGAAGTGAGACTGAATCCTCCTCTAAAACCCGGAAATATACATTGCCATATTTTTTTGTCGTTTGTGTTTGTCTAGAGTACTGGAGCCAGGCCCTTTCTTTCATGGCCAGCTTCTCCTCCGCATTTGCGTCAGGGATCTTTTTTTTTCCATGTCCAACTCTCGTCCCCTTCCCCCCCTTTCCCCCCCCACTTCTCCCCCTTCCCCCCCACCCTTTTCCCCCCCTTTTTCTTCCCCTCGCCCCCTTCCATTTCCCCTTCCTTCCCCACCCCCTCCGGCTCTTACCCCCACCACCCTCCTCCACTTCCCACCCCCCCCACACCGCCCTCAGGCAACCCAAAAACACACACCCAAAAAAAAGGCCCACTGTCGCTGTTCTCTCTTTCTTTCCCCAACAATTTTCGTCCTACACAAGAGTAGTTCAGCAGATCTCTATTAAAAACCAAAAAAAAAGTGTTCAGTAGATCTCCAGCGGCGAGGTCCCATTAGCAAAGAAGATTGGATTAAGAGCCCGAATCTGGATGGGTTTTAAGCAGAGACGCAGAAAATCAAATACCTCAGGCACCCCGGAAAAACACACACAAAAAGAAGGCCCACTGTCGCTGCTCTTTTTTTTTTTTTTTTTTTTTTTTTTT